CTCCTCAGAAGGAAGGCTGGGCATTCCTACTTCCGTAGTGATACTGCCTCAGAAACCCAAGGAGGGGTCGCTATGAGTCGGGGCCGACTCGATGGCAAACAACAACAACAACAACATAGTTTGCTGAGTGTTTTTATCATGAAAGAATGTTAAAATTTTGTCAAATGCTTTTTCTGCATCAATTAAGATAAGCATATGGGTTTTGTCCTTTGTTTGATTACTGTGTTGTATTACATTGATTAATTTTTGTATGTTGAGCCAGCCTTTCATTCCTGGGATAAATCTCATTTGGTTATGGTATATAATTTTTTTAAAAATGTCACTTTACTTGGTTTGCTAGTATTCTGTTAAGGATTTTTGGGTCTAGTTATACTTGTTTCATAATCAGAGAAAGTATCTCTAATTTAAAGATGAGATAAATTCTTAGACCTCTGATCAATAAATCATACCTTAAATCAACCTTTAAGTTTATGCTTCCCTAAAGGATCTCTAGAAACAAACTGGTAATGACTTCAAGGACTGTCCTTCACTTTCTAAACAGAAAAAGCAGTTATAGCTTTGAGTTTTAGATTAACCTTTTCTTTTTTGCCTGCCTCCACTTTTGGGATCAAGCTAAATAAACATTCTGAAATACAGCCAGTAATTCATAAATACTTTTCCTATACCTTATAGAATGGATGAAGTCAATGACTCAAGGTATAGCTTCAGGATGGCGAATTCTACCCCAGTATGCAGCTGTTACTTAATGATAAACAAACATGCTCAGTAAAGATAAGTGACTTGCTCAACAGCCTCTCAATAAAGAACAGAAGGTAGACTAGAATCCAGTTCTCAATTATTTGAAGAATTTGTTCTCATTACTACGTTACATACCCTTGACCTTAAGAACTACAGTAGGGTCAAACTTCCTAGTTCTACATTATTAGAAGCCTTGCAACTTAGCACTACAAATAAGACTTAGAATTAACTAAGGTCCTATTTTCTTACCATAGTGTTAGTACTTGGCTGTCCTAGAGTGCTGGTATTACCAAAAGTAAAGCCAGTGTTCTGGGTGGTTGTGGCCTGCCCAAATGGTTTGCTGAAGAGGCTAGTGGTCTGCTGATTCTGTTGGCCAAAGAGACTACCTGGATTTGTTCCAAATCCAGTTGTACCTTTTAGGGAAAAAAAAAAAAGCAAAGGAAAAATATATTTAAGAAAATAAAAACACCAAAACTGTACATTATGCAGTCATTAGAATAGTCTTTTATTATCTATTATATACCTAAATTACCCTATATGCACTATTCAAATTGGATGACTACTTCATTTCTCATCCTTTTTCATCTAATTCCAGATTTCATTCAGACTTTAACAATTCCTTGACCCTAAGAACCCTTGCTGGGCTAAGTTATTTTCTTTTATGAGCCCACAGCTTTCTATTTTACAAGATATCATACTACACTCAAAGTATGGGTCTGTATGTATATTTACCCTGTAAGACTACATTTTTCTTGACAATAGAAACTTCCCCTTTATACGAACAGGGTCTTTACATACACTGAGTATACACAGTACTCAATAATAAACTAAATTGGAGAATGTCAGTGTTGAAAAAATGTAAACTATCACTTAGAAAACTATGTATTAATTTTTATATGTATACAAGAAAAAATTCTAACTTTGGGTTGTCTCTATAGAAGTAAACCGGTAGCTGAGGCAGTGGTACAGACCTTTGGTTATATACATTTTTGTAATTTTGTTTATTTTGTTCCATATAAAGTATTAGCTTTTGAAAAGTATTATTGCTTAAAGTAATTTAGTCATCATCCTAGACTCCTCTCACATGCCACCTCTAATCAGTCCACTGGTAAACCTCAATAGTTCTGTATAAAACTGGGTCCAAAATCTAACAACTACCCAAAATCAATCTTATAAAAGTACTGGTCATGTATGAACTTTGTTCCTCTCCTGTTCCTTATACTAATCAAATGTGTATCAGAAACTGTTTAGCAAGGAAAGCCAGGCCAAGAAGTAAGAAGCTGATCTTACCTCCTTTAACCATCTTCATAGCATCACCTTGGTCCAAACCACTATAATCTCATCTTCCACATGGATACAGCAGTAGCTTTCTAATTGATCTGTTTCTAACCTTCTTACCTTATAATCTATTCTGAAAACAGCAGCCTTCAAAAATGATCCTTCACTCATAATCACATTAGTTCTCTTTCAAAACTAATGATTTCTAATGATTTCTCCAAATCGCTCAAATAAAAATGCAAGTTCTGACACTGGCCAATGAAGTTCTATACAATCTGATCCCCTTATTTTCTAGTACATCCCCCTGCCCTCTCTTCTTTGGCAAACACGGTTTTTATACTTATAGTTTCCCCAAGCTCGTATGTTTTTTCCCCAGAAACCTGAACAGCTTATATCTTCACCTTCTTCAGACAGATCATCACTTAAACATCATCTTCTCAGTGAAGCCTTTCTTAATCATTAAAACTACATTTCTCCCCATCCCCGTATACATACCAGGCACTCCTTATTCCCCTAGTATCTCTGAATTATTTTTCTCCATAGCACTTATTACAAAGTGACAATTATGTTTTACTTTCTGTTGTCTTTCTCTCTGCTAACAGGTAAACTCTGTGAAGCAGTTATTGTCTGTTTTGTTTACTGTTATGTATCCAACAACTAGAACAGTACCTAGCAGGAGGGAGGCTTTCAACAAATTTGTTAAGTGAGTACATCCACTGCTTGTATCCCTACTGTACACCCAAAGAGCTAATGGTTGCGTAGTTTCTGTTTGAACTACATGTCACACTAAAGTCCTAGGGAAGCCCACTCCATTTTAGGAGTGATCATAAGCACATAACCTTACATTTCTACAATGTATTCCTCTTATGGTTAAGTTTGAAGACATTTTGACAGCAAAAGGAGAGAAAGAAAACTAAGATGCCAATCAGGCACACATTAGCCACTTCCCAGTTTAAAGAAACTCAATAATATAATACATTGTTAAGTACTTACTAGTTCCAAAGGCAGTTTTGTTCTGACCATAGGCAAAGCCTGAATTAGTGGTGGAGGAGCTAAAGAGTCCTGTAGCGCTAGAGGTGGCTGGAGAAGATCCAAACAAGCTAGTCGTGGTACCTGCTCCCACCTGGTTTTGAGGGCCTTTCCGGTTAGCCTGATAATCCTCTAAACGAAGTTCCTAAGAGGAGTGAAAACATATTTCCAATCTTAACATGCAGTCAAAAAAATTATTTAGGAAACTAATGCCTTAATTCTCAAGTTACCACATAGGAACCATGACTAAAAGACAGAAAACTACAGAATGACATTAACTTCAACAGCATTACAATAAAAATTTCTAATAGTAATAAGCATTACAATTCCTATCATCATTACTATAAAACTATAGGCCAAAGGGCCTAACATATCATAATCTTAATTTTAAAAAATAAACAATAAATACTTTCTTTTGGTAAAATGCTATGTAATAATCCTGTCTACTGCCATCCCTAATGTAAAAATTAGTTGATGAAAGATGCAGTATTCTGGAGAATTTGGGAAATTTAGGAAAAATGGGGACAAAGTTTTAACAGTTTTGTTTTTCAAGTCGGGGTATTTCTGCACACTCCAAAAAAGCAAGTTTAGGATATAGGGAGAAGCAAGAAGCAGCAATAGCTGTAATCAGGATGAAGGTTAGAATGTTTAATATTTTCAAGGTTTATACAACAGACATCAATAAGAATGAGCTAACTTCATGCAACTACACAGAATCTCACAACATAGGAAGAAGACAGATATACATGAGTACATAATGTAAGATTCCAGCTATATAAAGTTAAAAAATGGGCAGTCAAAATAGTGACTGCTTTTAGAAGAGGACAACAGGGCCTAGGAGGCCACAAGGGAAAAGACTGAGATGCTGGAAATGTTCTGTTTCTGAATCTGGATCCTGGTTACCTGAGTGTGTTCACTTAGTGAGAATTTATTGAGTAGTAAGTATGACTTTGACCTTTTCTGTATGTATGCTATACTTAAACAATAACAAGTTTACTAAAAACACATGTACACACATATACACTGCCCAGTGTAGCATGAGCTACATCCAATCAGAATAGACCATTAGTAGAGCTACACCAATACATATAAGCCAAATATTATCCCCATCTAAAAAAAATTAACATATATTAAAATTCTAAGGTTCACGTTAAAGCTTTCTACCTAAACTCAATTTGAACCACTTAATTCTAAAAATAATCCAAAACATTTGTAAAAGCTGCTTTCCAATACAGTGAAAAGGTTAAGGCTGATAGTCTATAGTGCATTATACTGACCTCTAGTGACTTGCATTCATATTCTTTCATAGCAGTGATACACTGGTGCTTGGTGCTGATGTTAGTGCTAACTCCAGCTTTGACCATAGTATCTGTACCAGTTGGAGGCTGCAAAGATAAAGGTAAATTTGGAAGTCTGAGTTTATTTTCCTACTCTCATAGACACAATTCATCACTCATAGAACTCTAAAAATTAGTCCCTTTGTCTTTTATTTAAGAGATAGTTTCAAGAATACTTGCACAAATATATTACATTTCTGATGTCTCCCTCCATCTGAATAAATCAAACTAAATAACAAAGTTATCACAAACTCAAGATTTAATTCCATAACCCAAGCCATCAAAGTATTTGCTAAAATCAGTTTAATATTATATGCATAAAGAAAGTGTTACTCAATTTATCCAGCATATACATTTAAACTTTCATTTTCAAATTTTATCTCCTATTTTAAAGCACAGTAGTTAAAGCACTCAGCTGCTAACCAAAAGGTCAGCAGTTTCTCCATGAGAGAAAAATGAGGCGATCTGCTTCCATAAAGATTCACAGCCTTGGAAACCCCACAAGGCAGTTCTACTCTATCCTATAGGGTTGCTATAAGTCACGATCAACTCGATGGCAGTAGGTTTAATTTTCTGGGGTATCTTCTATTCTGCCCAGAAGTGCTGGCTTTATAAAATGCTGTTGCATTTAAGAAACTATGGAAGCCTGTTTTGTTCTCCCTCTGCCCCCACCACAGCCTGATGAGGAAACAGGCAAAGTAAGTATTGCCAGTTTTCTCAATTACTGTACCTTATAAGAGATATACAGTATCTTTCACTATCACTCATAATAAACTTTATTTTAAATTCAGGATTCTAAATTCAGTATTATGAATTTATCACCTGAGATATTCTTCATTTTATAGAGAAAAGTTTTACCAATCCTTATTTCTGCCATAGATTTCCATCACACCAATTGAAAGCCAAATTATGTAAACAGTAAATTCAAGTTCAACCACATGAATACAAATTTGATTGGATTGGGCATGATTCAAATATACATTTTAATTGAAATCTATGTTTCCTGACCCTTCTTATCTACTACAATGTAACTATTTACAGATTTTGTTTTTAACAAATCTTTCAGGAAGAGTTAAAATAAGTTATCCATAAATAGAAAGAACAGTTTTTACAATTCATCCTGCAAAGAAATATACAGATGGAAAAGAGACGTATTCTACAAAGATGAAAAGAAAACACTTACATTGAATTTAATGGTAGTTCCAGTAGGTGCAGCTGTAAAACTACTTGTCCCAAAAAGGGAACCAGATGTGTTACCAAAAGGGTTTGAGGTGGTATTTGTAGTTCCAAAAAGTCCTCCACTGCTAGTACTTGTTCCAAAATCTATAAATTAGAAAGAAAAATGAGGTGGTAACCAGAAAGGAATTTAAGAATTCCTTTTGGAATTGAGCTGTAGCATTAGAGCAGCGCTATTGTTACATCTCAAATGTTCTTTCAAATCTCCCTAGCAAGTAAGTTCAAGCACGTATTTCATATAGACACATACCTGTTTCTAAGTTTAGGACTTTCAAGTGAGATAAAGTTTGAATCCTTCAATCATATAAGTATTCATGAAACTTGCAAGACAAATTAAAAGAAATACTACTTCATTTCATTATAAATTTTATCTCATCCTTTCCTTGGCAAGACTAGATGTTGAATGAACTTGTCTTTCTAAGAACACCTGGTCACAACAGATTTTAACAAGACTCATAGACTATTTTACTTACATTTATTACTTTATGTACACATACACACAACCAAAATGTTTAAAACATATGGTCCTACTAGGGTAATCAAATATAGGTTAAGGTAAATTTTCACCCCCAAAATAATTTACAGACATTAGTAGCCAGTGTTAATCACTTTATAGAAATAAAGAAATAAAACAGATCCTCTGATAACCTTCCTTACCAAAAAGAAGTGCTAAGAAACTAACACATATAAATGAATTTAACTGTTAGCTAACTATGAGATACTACCTCTACAGAAGTCATACATACATGCCAGAAATGTCAGTGACTAATAAAAAATCATCTGCCAGTATTTAAAATTAAATGGCATTCTAATTACCAAGTTACAAAGAATGTGATTTCTCACTGGCAGACCAACTGCTTGCTACTACTTCTTTCTAACACCATGTCCTAATACACAGTGTGAAGTAAATGGGGACATACCTCTTGAATTAGCCCTTTAAATTGTATTTTATATTGTCAACTATTTCAACATCCCCACAAACAACTTTCCCTTTGGAAAATATTGTTATCTGGGTAAGAACTCATTCTCCTATATTCTTGTGTTGGGAAAGGCATCCCCTCACAGAGCATACCTTATCAATTAATAGTAGCTGCCTCTCAACAATATTGTATGTAGAAGCATTCCCAGGACAAAGTTAGACTTAAAAAGAAAAAAAGCTATGATCAATTAGCAACATCTGCCATGGACAAGGAATGAATCATGTCACATCCAGTATCTGTCATTCCTGCTCTAGTCTCTCTATACCAAATGTGAGGCAGAGACATAAAGAAGGTACCTCTGTAGCACAATACTACTGACTATGACACATCCCTCCTTGAAATTCTCCTTCCTTAACATCAACACTGCTCTGACCTGACTTCTCAGCCTACTGCTGGCCATTCTTTATTAGGCACTCTTCGTCTGACTATCCCTTAAATAGTAGTGCTTTTCACAGTTCTATCATTGGACAAATGTACAGATACCCTTCCTTTTATCCAGTCTTTTAAACTTTTCACTACAATTTTTTTTTTCAATATATATTTTTAAGTGTTCCTCTCCTGTTTTTGCCACTTGGTAGGAAAGGGAGATTTGTGGACAGAGGGAAAAAGAAAGCAAGAGCACATTCAATAAGGAAACCAAATTGTCAGATGCCAAAGTCCAATAATGTCCTACTTACTCCCAAAGCCAGTGGGTTTATTTTGTGCAAAGGCATTATTCTGGGATGAGAAGAGACTGGTTCCTGTGCTTGCAGTTCCAAACAAGCTATTTGATGTTCCTGTTGATGTGCCAAACCCAAAGCCAGTGCTTGTGGAAGTAGCTGGTTGGCTAAATGAATTTGTACCAAATAATCCTCCTGGGTAGGTAGGAAAGGTGAAAAAAAATAGTTAAATAGACAGATCTGAGCCATTATTATAAGTCCTAAAGCAGTGACAAATAAGTTAGCTACGTTCCAAATAAAGCTCCTACCTGGTTTGGTCTGTGAATTTCCAAATAGGCCTCCAGTATTGTTGCTAGAACCAAATGCAGATGTTCCAAATGCCCCTCCAGTAGTTGTGCCAAAGCCACTATCTAAGAAAGCAAAATCCAAAGTCAGGATACATTCTAATTCAGGTAACCCAATGAAAATGAGTTTCAATGCTTTTACTATTCTGCATTTGGATAAGAAATACCTGTCTAGGGTTAAAATTAAGCCAAAGACATTTTACTTCATTGTCTCCAAGGAATGTATGGAAACTCAAGAGTCAAAAAGTATTACTTTTCAAAATATTGTCGATGTTGATAAGTTAAACAAGAAGAACAAAATGAGTGGCAAAGTTAACTAGTTACTATAAGCTACAGATAAAGTAAAACTGTCCATATAGTGTTAAAATTTTCTCCAGATACTATTACTCCCCATAGTTACTGGGACGAATAGTCTTTAATTAGGGAAGCACATCAGAATGACTTGGGTAGTTTTTTCAAAGTACAAAAGCTCAGGTTCCAACCTCAAAGATTCTAATTCTATAGCTCTGTGATGGAGAATGTGTACTTTGAGAGACAAAAAATTCCAAATGTCACTCTGATGGGCATCTTTGGTTAAAAAAACTATTGACTCTAAGACGGGTCAGGTTGTTGTTGCTGTTATGTGCCGCTGAGTCAACCCTGACTCATAGCGACCCCTCCTTGGGTTCCCGAGACAGTATCACTACGGAAGTAGAATGCCCAACCTTCCTTCTGAAGAGTGGCTGGTGGGTTTGAACTGCCAGCCTTCTAGTTAGCAGTCACATGCCTTAGGCACTACACTACCAGGGCTCCTTAGACAGGTCAGGAGACACTTGAAAAAATTTCTGCTACTATTCGTTTTATAAGGTACGATTAAGGTCTTGTGGGTATGTCTTTAAAAAAAATTTTAACACTTAATAGAAAGAATCTGAAATTTACATTAAAATACTTTGGCGAAATATTCTCTTCCTTTTAAAAAGAGAGGAATAAATAAAACAAGATTTGGAAAATGCTGACCGGTTAAGCTGAGAGCTTAACATGAGAGTTCATTATACCAATTCTTTTTATGTTTGTGTAAGTTTAAAATTTTTCTTAACAGTAAGTTTAAAAGTGAATAAACAGTTTTGTTGTTGTTGTTATTTGCCGTCGAGTCGGACCCGACTCACAGCGACCCCTCCTTGGGTTTCCAAGGCAGTATCACTATGGAAGTAGACTGCCCCATCTTCGTTCCTTCCAAGGAGTGGCTGGTGGGTTTGAACTCGGCTGAGTGCCTAAGGCACTTGACTGCTAACCAGAAGGCTGGCGGTTCAAACCCATCTTCCTTCCGAGGAGTGGCTGGTGGATTTGAACCTCCAGCCTTCTGGTTAGCAGTCAAGTGCCTTAGGCACTACACTACCAGAGCTCCCATATACTTTAGAAAGCAAGAAATGAAGCCATGGAAAAGGATGACACAAAGATACTCAGGAAAACTATGCTGAAGAAGGAACGAACATGAGCTCTGGAGCCCTGTTCCATGCCAGGCACCTGGCACACATTATCTACAACAATCAGCATCCAAGGAAGGAATTATTATCCCCATTAAAAGGATGAAGAGACTGTAGTACAAGGCTAGCTAAACACCAAGGGTCACACATTTAGGAAGAGTTAGAGCAGAAAACTCATCAATAAACAGTTACAGAAGGTCTTCCACAGATAGAGTCTTATACCAGTTGCTAATTAAACCTACTGTCATTGAGTCAATT